CCCACAATACATTGCTACTATTTTTTTACTTTATACAGTCGATTATTTGTTGTTGTTATGTGCCCTCGAATCGTCTCCGACTCATAGCAACCCTGTGTACAGCAGAACCAAACGCTGCCCAGTCCTGTGCCAGCCCCACGATCCCTGCTGTACCTGAGCTCATCATTGCAGCCGCTGTGTCAGTCCATCTCGTTGAGGGCCTTCCCCTTTTTTATGACCCTTCATTTTACCAAGCATGGTATCCCCCTCCAAGAATGGTCCTTCTGACAACAGGACCAAAGTAGGTGAGACGAAGTCTGGACATTGTCGCTTCCAAGGACCATTCTGGCTGCTTCCAAGACAGATCTGTTAGTTCTTTTAGCAGTCCATGGTACTTTCAGCATTCTTCACCAGCACCACAACTCGAAAGCATCAACTCTTCTTCAATCTTCCTTATTCATTGTCCAGCTCTCACATGCGTAAGAGGCAATTGAAAATACTGTGGCTTGTGTCAGGCACACCTTAGTCCTCAAGGAGGCATCTTTGTTCTCCAGCACTTGAAAGAGGTGTTTTGCCACAGATTTGCCCAATGCAATACATCTTTTGATGTCCTGACTGCTGCTTCCATTGGCATTGATTGTAGAAACAAGCAATATGATGTCTTTGACAACTTCTATCTTTTCTCCATTTATGATGCTGCTTATTGGTCCAGTTGTAAGGATTTTTGTTTTCTTTATATTGAGGTGTAATCCATACTGCAGACTGCAGTCTTTAATCTTCACCAGTAAGTGCTACAAGTCATCCTCACTTTCAGCAGCAAAGTTGTGTCGTCTGCATATCTCAGATTGTTAATGAGCCTTCCCCCAATCGTGATGCCATATTCTTCTTCATATAGTCCAGCTTCTTGGATTATTTGCTCAGCATATAGATTGAATAAGTACGGTGAGCTCTGGTAGCATAGTGGCTAAGACACTTGCCTTCTAACCAGACGGCTGGCGGTTCAAACCCACCAGCCACTCCTCAGAGGGAAGGTTGGGCAATCCTACTTCCGTAGTGATACTGCCTCGGAAACCCAAGGAGGGGTCACTATGAGTCGGGTTTGACTCGATGGCACATAAAAACAACAGCAACAACAAGTACAGTGAAAGGATACAACCATGAAGCACACTCTTCCTGATTTTAAACCATGCAGTATCCCCTTGTTCTGTTTGAATAACAGCCTCCTGTTCTATGTACAGGTTCCTCATGAGCACAATGAAGTATTCTGGAATTCCCATTCTTCTCAAT